AAATTGGTTAAATACAAATAAACACAATGGTCTGTTAATTACATTTATTTTTAAGCAATCACAGACTATAATGGTGTATTTGTAGTTTGATGTGAGGAGATGTTTGATTAAAACTGCAGATTGGGTTCTACTTCCTTCTCATGCAGGTTATTTCTCTGCTTCAAAGTTCCTTGATTTTCTGCTTCCACTGAAAACTTGTGTTTCCAGATTGAAGAACACAGAAGTACTCTAAACCTAGTTAATGAATTTGAAGCTAAATCAAGTGATTAGAATTTGGGTGGAAAGTGACCATTATGGACCCCAAATTGCCTACATTTTTACCCTTTTTGAATCAATTTTACAAGTAATTGGGTTCTGATTGAGAGATGTATTAAGCTAATGCAGCCCTAATTTACCAAGTTCTGATTGATAGATGATGGGCCTATAATTTTATCTTAACAGCATAAGATTTTTCAACGACTTTGTAACCTGGAAAACCAGAGACTATTAATGCTAATAAGAGTTAAAAACAGAGGAAGCAACAACTTAACTCTTTGTTTAAGTCTGACGATTTGCTTGAACTAATATGTTTTGATTTGTGGGAGCCTACCTGAATTATCTCTTAGGACTCTTAAATGGATCATAAACTTATAGTTGGGGTCAAGGGGAAGATACTCAAAAGTCAAAAGTGATGCTTAAATACATCCCCATTCTCTCTCTGAAATATGAAGTCTTGAAATTTCAATTCAACTGTCTGATTTACCAAGTTCTGATTGATAGACGGTACTAAAGTGTAGAATTTTCAGTTTATTGACTTTTATCTTTCTGAGATTACTTTTCATTTTAGGTTTTGGTTGTTTGATGATTTAGTCCAACACTAATAGAATGAAATATCTTACAGCTAATGCAAGCTCATGGAAGGAGAATTAGAGATAAAATAACTATTTTTTGCAAGTTTGTAAGGAGATGAAATTCACTTACAGGAACAACTTTATTTATAAGCCTACTCTACTTCTGTTATGTTTAACCTTCAATGATTGTATCTCCATGGCGTCTCATGTTATCTCCGCAGGCCAATCTCTTTCTGGGAACCAGACAATTACCTCTCCAAGTGGCATTTTTGAGCTGGGTTTCTTCACACCAGGTAACTCTCAAAACTATTATATTGGGATATGGTACAAAAAACTACCCCCGAAAACAGTAGTTTGGGTGGCAAACAGAAACCAACCTGTTTCTGATACGTCGTCTTCAACATTGCAACTCTTCCAAAATGGAAACTTAACCCTACTGGTCCAATCCAAAACTGAAATTTGGTCAACTCATTCTATGTCAACGGTTTCTCATTCCACCGTAGCAATGCTACTTGACAATGGGAACTATTTAATTCATCTGTTGTTATATGGCAGAGTTTTGATCACCCAACTAATACTTGGCTTCCAGGGGGGAAGCTTGGACATAATAGGCTTACGAAAGAAAAACTAAGTCTTACTCCATGGAGAAACCTACAAAATCCAGCACCTGGCCTCTTTCCTATCTGGGCAGTATCTTGTATGTGATGGAGAATTTTATTTTCCCCATCCAATCTAGATCTTATGAATGGGAGTGGTGACATGAGCTTGTATCTTGATGTGCTTTCATCTATTTCAAATGGGATATATAAATATATCATTGTTCTTTGTAGTTTGTATCTTCAAGGTGAAGTATTAGGAACGGGGTATAGATTACAAGCTGCAGCAGCAGCAACCCAGCCCAAACAGTGATTTCTTCTCTAGATTCTCCCAAAATTCGAACCTCACCTCAGATTTTGATAAGTAGGGGACTCCAGTGATCCACATGAAGTTGTGAGATCAATTCATGTAGGTCTTTCAAGTGTGCAGCATAACCCGGCAAATAGACCGAGCATGCCAGCTACAGTTGTAATGCTGAGTGGTGAAGGGTTATCGCCTCAACCTCAAAAACCTGGTTTTTATAGTGAAAGGGATCTCAATGAACTGGAAGTCGATCCTTCCTCTAAAGCATTTTTAGCTAATGCAGTCACAGTCCTTTTACACTAATAGAGGCTCGATAAACTATATTTCATGTTGGCGTATTAATCTGGTGCTTTTGAAGTCAGTTTGAAAAGTTAAATATAATTAAGAGATTCCCAACCCATGCGTTAGCAAATGCACCCTCTAATTTTTATTTTTATTTTTCCTTCGGAGTTGAGGTAGAGTTCACACTGCACAAACACATATGCTAATACAAGAACAAATATAAAAGCTTAAATGAATTAGATTTTTCACTTGAGGTGGTGTAATATTTCAAAAAAAAATTATGTTCTTTGGTGGGTTGGTTTTTGTGTTCCTATGCAAGAGGAGGAGGAGACAAATCTCTTCTTCTTCTTTTTTTTTTTTTTTTTTTTTTTTTTCAGCAAACAAGAGGGCATGATCAAATGTCAAAATCTATAACAAAAATGCAATATCCAAAGAATGAAAAGCAGTCCAACCAAGAAGAACCACCAGTGGACGAATATCGAATGCATAAAGATTTATCAAGTTTCAAGCAAGAAGAACCAAACCAATCAATCTATTGCTTAACCAAACCAGAAATAAATAGTCAGAATTTGAGATTGGGGCCTAAAAACTGTACCTTGTTATTGGCAAGACCATAGAAAATCCATGATAGGATAGCTTCATCATTTCCTTCCACTGAAGACAGAAACATCAATGAAGCTTTTGAGAGCACTTAATTAACTTGTTATATGTAAATATGTAAAACAGCAGCCATGACAAAACAGCGCATTCAGAACATCAACATAGGATGCAAAAGCGAAGATTTAAGTTAACCAAAAAAAAACCACACATATTCTCAAGCAACATTTTTCTGATCAACTTCTAATACCAAACAATATATTAACTCTAATTCAAATCACAACATGAGTTGTTGAAATCATGATAGAATACACATATGTAACATCTTAAAAGGAGAAGTTACCCACTTCCAAGGAGCATCTCGAGCAGGAAGATTCGAAGGCTTTAGACTGAGACTAGGCAAAATATTCACGAGATCTCTTTCTTCACTATCTGCATGATTATGTTCAACAAGACAAGTGTTACCACACAAAGGAAGGAAGGCAGGTTCAATAAATGACAAGGCAACAAAATTACCAACCAGTCACAACTGCGCTACAATTTCAATGTTGGGAAGATATATACTCTTAACTTAGGAAAGAATTGGACACCCAAAAAATAACACCTAAATATATTACCAATTTTATTAAACTTAAAAGAAGACTTAAAGTATAACCAATTCTGCAGTTCCAAAATAAATAAAATAATAATTTGTAAGTCATATCCCTTGCCTGGACTGGAAATAGGTAATGAGTGCCTCATTGTTGGAACTGTGCGTGGCTCCTTTACTGTTTTGGACTCCATCTTCTTATAAGAAGTTTCACCAATTAACTAAGACATCCGTTAATTGCTTCTCCCCAATATGCTCATTTCCAGAAGCTACGGAAGTCTTTGTTTCTCCTATAACTGAGATAAGAAATCATAAGCATTGCACATATAGCATCCATTTACCATAGGAATAAAATGCTATCTTCACACTTTTAATAACACATCCAAAATACTATGAACAAAAAATGCTGAGTAGATACAACAAGTCTGTCTCAACACTTTTACTAACCAAATTCTATTGCATGAACTCTATAATAAGAGCAATTTATAATTTTTCTTCTTATAAGAAACACAAATTTAAGTTACAAACTTTCATTAAAACAAAGAAAGAGAATCATGATGCAGAAGACACTGTTGATAACAATAGTGAAGATTATTTGTACCATTCCTTATACTCAGTTCTGATTATTTGACTTCAGTAGCGGGCAAAGTTGCATCTACTAGATGGCCACTGGAACCATATTTCTTTGAATTCTGCTAACCAAGAGGAGCCTTTGGTTCTGACGAAGACATAAGAGCAACCAATTGCACTACTAAGAGTATATCAAAAAGCAAAAACTTTCACTATCTAGCATGTACTCAATCATCCATATATACAAGGGGAGAATGGAGATGATGTGGCTCATAGAATCAAAGCACGATAGGTAAAATGGAGGGTTTTGTTAAGCATATATATAGTGTGATCATCATATTTTGCTAGAATTGAAAGCTAAGTTTATAGAACATCTGTTAGACCAGCCATGCTATATGGGACTGAATACTAGACGGTTAGAAAACAGACATATTCATAGTTTCTGTAGGTACATATTAGCCAACTGTTACAACCAGCACAGTGATATGGACACCTCTATGTCTGTTTCTCTAACGGCATATTATAGCCATTATTAGACACAAATTGTTAAGAGATCAGATTAAAATATTTGTCACCTTTTGAATCCTTCAAAATTGGAGATGTTTGTTGCTGAATAATCTTTGCTATCCTTCAAAAACCTGGTTATTGGCAAGACCATAGAAACTCCATGACAGGATATATTAATATTTAAACAGTTAAAATATCGGAATGTATTTATTTGCATTCAATTATGCATCTAAATTTGGTATGACGTGCATCGATATTGTCGATAATGCATCAGTAACGTGTTTACATTTATAAGATATTCCAATATAAATGGGCAAGATATTTACATAAGAATGGCTTCATCAGAACTAGGTATGGAATCATCTTGCTGTTTAAAACAAAGTTTGAAAGAAAAATAAAAGCCACCAAGGAAAAAGAAGAAAGAAATCTTCCAGCAGTGACATGATTAGAAACAAGATAGAGCCAGAAAACTTTTGACATTATTAGAAAAAATATTTCTTTGAATTGTCTCAGAAACTAGCATATATTGTTCATTGGATTATAAAAAGTAAAGGTTTTTATTTTTTATTTTCTTGAATTTCTGACTCCTCATCTTCTGCTTTCAAATACTTCATTCCTAGATCAAGGACACAATACAAAGATCAAAATTACCAGTACTGTGTTGTCTACTGGACCACCAATTTTATTAAACTTAAAAATAACACCTGCATAATCTTTGCTATCCTTCAAAATTGAAGGGTCATTGCCTCAACCTCAAAAACCTGGTTATTGGCAAGACCATAGAAACTCCATGATAGGATAGCTTCATCATTTCCTTCCACTGAAGACAGACACCAAGTCAGCAAATTTTGTGTTGTTTTCTTCTGCGCCATGCCGTCAATGGAAAGAGAGAAGAGAATAAGGCGGAGTTGGCAGAGGGAGGAATTGTCGTAGTTGTCGTTGTGTGAGGTGAACATGTGGTTTGGGAGAGCCTAGAGAAGAGAATAAGGCGGGAAACAGGGAGATGAATGGAAATAGATGAATTAAGAGTCTCATGATCTCTTCTTCTATGGACCTGACTTGTGCTTGCTTCGGCTTCCCAATCTCAATCTCAAGCTCAAATTTGCAGCTAAACTTCTTCAATTTCGGGTTTCAGACTTTCAGTCAATCGCAGTGTTCGGAAAATCGGCCTAGGCGGGCGCCTAGGTGGCTAGGCGGGCGCTAGGCGGCTAGGCGGGAGCTAGGCGGCTGGGCGGGAGCTAGGCGGCTGGGCGGGCCTCCTAGGCGGGTTGGGTCTTTTTTTGGTGTCGAACCAGGAGGACGAAGCAGTCGAAACTGAAAATCGAAGCGAAATGACTGTGACTGGGTCTGCAACCTCCGCCCTCTGCGAGTGCAAGCTTCGTGTTCGTTTGGATTATATTCAAAGAGTATAGCCGGTCGGCTATAATTTTAAAATATTTGAATATTTTAAAGAGTATAGCCAAACGGCTATACTTTTAAAATATCCGAATATTTTAGAAAGTACAGCCGTGCGGCTATAACATTTTAAATATACAATTTTGTCATATCATTTTAGGGTTTAGGGTGGGCTAGAGTTATTTCTTCAATTATTTTATTTATACAAGCGATATTGGGGAATGAGAATTTAAATTCTTTATGATACCTCCCATTATAATGATTTCCAGCTATTAGCCCTTTGGGCAAGAATAAAAAATGAATTTTATTTCTAACAAATAATACAAGTTAAACTCATAAATACCAAGAATAATAATAATAATAATAATAATAATAATAAAAGGTATCCGCCAACATTTTGTGGATCAAAGAATTTTGAATTTCATAGTATAAAATTGCTTGTATATCAATTTACTTTCTAAAATGTATCCGTTGTAATTATGAACTAAACCCAATTGCAACATTTTTTTCTCATTGCACTTGACGACCATGCTCTTCTGCTATCAGATATGTCAGTTGAAAAATTGGATATAAAACAATCTAACGAGACAGCGAAGGGAAGTTTGCAGCTCTATTTTGAAATTAATTGAAGGTATCAGAGGTCATATGACATTGATATATGAACTATTCTAAATGAGAATTCAAACAACATGTGTTAGATGAGAAGTAGCATCTCATTCTTAAATATAACATATTATTTCATTTTTTTACTGGTTGTGCCTGTTGTTAAGCTGGTGCAACCAACATTCTTTCACCACGAAATTTTTCCTAAACCTCAAAGAAATTTAGCTAGGAAAACCTTTGGTGGGAAGGGAAAGTTAAGATAGAAATAGAGGCAGAGGCAAGGCTGAAGAACAATCGCGCGCGAACACATGTGATATTACAAAAAATGTTGCGAAGGAATTTAGAATGGCCATTTTCCAAATTAAGCATACATCTTATTATGAAATCAAGATAGGAACTTATAACAAGCCCTCATTAGAGTAACATTGTCCAAAAACACACGATGAACACCACACTCAACACACATAATTGCTCATTAGTGTTGTAAATATAAAAAAGATGAGATATCGCTTAGTACAATCAAATTAATAATTCTTCATTCCTCGTCGCCCAAATTTTTTTTTTTTTTTTTTTTTTTTTTTTTTTTTTTTTTTTTTTTTTTTTTTTTTTTTTTTTTTTTTTTTTTTTTTTTTTTTTTTTTTTTTTTTTTTTTTTTTTTTTTTTTTTTTTTTTTTTTTTTTTTTTTTTTTTTTTTTTTTTTTTTTTTTTTTTTTTTTTTTTTTTTTTTTTTTTTTTTTTTTTTTTTTTTTTTTTTTTTTTTTTTTTTTTTTTTTTTTTTTTTTTTTTTTTTTTTTTTTTTTTTTTTTTTTTTTTTTTTTTTTTTTTTTTTTTTTTTTTTTTTTTTTTTTTTTTTTTTTTTTTTTTTTTTTTTTTTTTTTTTTTTTTTTTTTTTTTTTTTTTTTTTTTTTTTTTTTTTTTTTTTTTTTTTTTTTTTTTTTTTTTGGTGTGAATTGTTGGATGCCTTTTGTGATTTTGGTAGGTGCTACGTATGTGGTGGGCTTGTCTTCTATGTTTGTGGATTATGTGGACACGTGGGTCATTAAATAAATTGGCATTCTAGAATTCTGTGTTCTAGTTATTCTTAAGGAAACACATGCATTAATTATACAAACCAGGGCTAAGAGAAGCTTAAAATAATTGGTGACGGACACAAAGAAAAAGAAAACAATACAATAACACCACACCCAAATTTTCTTCTTCCCCTAACCCTGGATTCTTTCCTCCCTCCTCCAGAGTTAATATGAATAAAACTGTGAATTTGTGGGAGGAAGGAGGGGGGGGAGGAAAACAGGAGGGAAGAAAGGGGAGGGGGGTCTAGATGAGGACCATAGTGCTAGTAGCAACTAACGGAAAGATCTGACTGAAATCTAACCGGTGGAATTACATTGTAACAAATTTAAAAGACAGGAGTAGTATTGTAAAAATTGGAAAAATGTAGGGACTAACATGTAGGTCTGCTTACCACGTGACCACTGGAGAGAATGATACAAGTAGATGAAGAAAGTAGAGAACTGCTCTTCTTTTTTAAGAGGGTTTACTTTGGTTTTTTTGTTTTTTGTTTTTAATCTGATTCCTTTTCTCTACATGATTATCCAGTATTTTACCCTCTCCCTCAGGATTTATTGCAATGGGGAAGCGTGGTTCTTCTGACAAATATGCTGCATTGTAATTTGTTCTGGTAGGGTAAAATCATTGGGTTAAAAATAGCGTAATCAGTGGGTTAGCGTTTCTAGCCAAACGATTTTCAAATCAAGCATCTATCAAAAAGGCAAACTGATGAAAGTTTTGATCTCTCTCTCTCTCTCCTCTCTCTCGGCTCTCTCTCTCTCTCTCCTCTTCTCTCTAAAGACTACAGAGCACCAAGACAATATCAAATACTCTTGTTTGTTTATGTTGCTGCCCCAATCCACGATGCTGTTTCAACTATTAACAAAGAAAAAAAATCATGGCTCCGAATTAGAAAAAGGAAAAAGATAGAGATCGAACTAAATAAATACTTTTAATTAAAAAAAAAATTGAAGTGGGATACCTCACCTCTGCTACTTTGTAAGAAGGACATGCTAATCTTTTTCTTAACAACCAAAGGAACTATATAATTCTGTAGGCGTCTCTGGAAAATGAGTAAGCTCTGTTCCACTCGCATTGTCTATAAAAAGAAAAAAAAATGTCAAGTTCGTCTATCTAAGATATTTGTATTAAAAAGAATTTAAAATAAAATAATTAGTGTGATGTGCGTACCAAAGATTTTTGATTGTCTTGGCCAAAATTTTACCGATACGATCCACTATTGGTTTTTCGAATAAAGTAAGCTCTACCACAGCGTTATTTTGATAAACCATCTTCCCGCTGATATGTTTCGTGATAAACAGACATCAAAAAGCTGGCATATTTGGAGTTTTGAATGGTTGTTTCGATGTTCCTTTTTCCGTAAGATGGGATGTGATTCTCGGTGTAATTTGCATAGTCCGCTCCCAATTCTCCACACACATAAGTTCGATAAGGCTTCATGCGGGAAAATAATCGTCTCATTACATGTCATGAGTAGGGGATGATGCCACAAATCCGCCAAAAGTCACACTATAAATAAAAATATATAAATTAACATTAAAAATACAGCAAGAAAAAGGGGGAAAAAAAAAAAAAAAAAAAAAGCCATCCCCCAACACAAAAAAAAAAAAAACAGTTAAAAAATGTTTCCTTACCCTGGGATTTCAGACATATCCATAAAAGTGTTTCAACTCTTTTTATAGCATCCTTACTTCAAGGATCTTTCAAGCACAAATTTGCTGGGTGCTTACACAATCTCCCCCGGTTTGAACATAATTTCGAAAAAACTCGCCACTGCTTATTTACCATAGTTAAGTCTCAAGATCTAAATTGCACCGGCCACGTCTCTCCAATTCAGTAAATCTGTGATAATTCCATAAAAAGGTACATGTTAACAATGGTAGGAAATATCTATATATATATATATATATAAGAATAAAAAGAAGGAAGGTAAAATTGCTCTAGCGGGGAAAGAAAAAAATACATAAGCACCCTACCCAACCAGGCAGACTAGGAAACTAAATCTAATTACAAAAAAGGTATCTGTGTTTAGAGAAGATCACAGTGCCGTAGATGTGAATTTTAAACTCGTATATTAACCCGAAATTAAGAGTTTGGGCAGGAATTCGATCAATGGGTAGGGTATGAAGGATAAGGAAATGGGTAGGGGACGAAGTCCATGGAATTTTCCAAAGTATGGTCTATCGGAAGGGGCAGGGAGATATTTTACTCCCCACCCCGACCCTAGGTTAATTTCTTTTCATGAAATATATCACTAAGAGTGTGATGGTGGGGCTACCCTCTATAATGATGATCAGGTAGAAATGTATTTATTTTTTTTAAATTAGCCTAGTTATAGTTAAGAACAATGCATTGGGCACAATTTGTGCTCCTAGCGCTTTTCTCATGCAACCAAATGCTTTTTATTTTATTTTATTGAATGAGGTGAGGATGAAGGAGTATGAGGAATCCTCAATTTAAATATTGGGTATGAATGCGGGGATGGGGGAACATACTTACGGGGATGGTGATGTGATGTGTATATCCCCCACGATATTGCACACACGTACAGTATATATTTATAACGCCAGTACAAAAAAAAATAACGTGAGATTTTAGATTACTTACCGAATAATGCGGGCGATAATTATCCACAATATAATGTCATTCCACACTGGTGCGACTCTGTAAATACCAGATAATGAATGCATATCCTTCGTTTATATCTGCTGTTAGTATTCTTCGTCTTTATTTCTCTCACCGTTAGGGTTTTGAACTCTAGTCTTAGGGTTGTGAGTGGAGTACTATTTATAAGGCATAAACGTGGTGGCGAGTCCTTGTTTGTGAGGTTTTTGGTTCCTTACTAAGTTAGAATTTTGGTTCCTTACTATGTTAGGGATTTGGTTCCTTACTAGGTTAGAATTTTGATCCTTACTATGTTAGGAGTTTAGTTACTTACCTATTAATTTAGTCCTATGGTAATTGAGATTATTTTTCTATAGTAGTTAGATTTATTTCTATGGATTAAGGTTACACGTCTTGTATTTAGGGTTACACATCTTTGGATTATTTCTTATTAGGGTTAAACATTATATTTATATAAAAGAAGAAGACCAATATTGGTTTATCCCATTGCATATTGGGGGCAATCCAAGTGAATTGGATTCACTCTTTCGTAACACTACATTAGTTAGCTCACAAATTTGTATGTAAAACACAAAATGCAAATTGTAATGACATCGAGCCGGATGCTGTATTCGAATTTCCTTCCTCGAGGCATCCAAGCCAAAGTCCTTTATCATTGTGCTAGAGATGAGAGACATACAACCCAGTGAGCATCACGAACCATAAACTGGCCAATCAGATGGGGAGTGGGGTAGAAAGCACCAGCTGCTCATTTTTGGGTCAACGAAATGAAGACTAATGAGGAGCTTAGAGTTGAAGTAGTTTCTGGGACGTGCTTGCCTTGCACCTATTTTGCTGTACTTGTAACGGTGGAAAGTCCTTTCTTCTTCCTAACATTCGATTCCTTCACTTGCCAATTCCCATGTGTTATTGTTTAAGCACTTAAATTCAAATGCACTCCAAAGGAGGGGCCTATACCAAACTCCCAATGTTCCCCAACTGACAATTCTACCCTCCAACCAAAACACCTACATGATATCATGGTCATGCATTACTAAGTGAATCCTTTCAAGGCGGGTTTGGTCTATTCACTCGAACACAAAAAAAATAGTGCAATATTCTACTTAACAATCATGGTTGCTGTTCAAATAATAACTAGGGATAGGGTAGGTCCACAAACTCTGGCTAGATAAACGGAAATTGGAAAAAGCCTTGGATTGAAATTGAGTACGTTCAAAACAAGAAAAACAAACTTTCAGCTCTCCTCCTTCCTCGGCTTTTGCTTTTGCTGTAGGTTTCTGATACATAAAGATACAGGCTTAAGGAGACTAAGGCAGGCAGATATGGACTGTTCTATTTGTACTCAATGCCGGCTATATTGAGGCCTCCAAGGAATACGATATGCTTGACATGCTACGAGGGAGCCCGTAGCGTTATCTCCTTCATAAACAAGCTTGAAAGTGCTCAAGGGTCAGCTGAGAAGAAAGCAAATTTGTGTAAGGCAAGCTCTGGTTTCAACTTTCATGTCTTTCTTCGTTTTATTGCTTGGACTTTGCAGATTTGAATTTCATGTTTCATCATTCTCTTAATTCATAATTACTAGGAAGCACTTTTACATTAAGCCATCATACAAAACTTAACACATCACATTCTTTGTGGAGGAGTCCTTCGCTTCAACAACATCATTTCATCGTTGAAGAGTATTTACTTTTGAATGGGCAAATTTTTCGTGCAGAATAATTCATTTGGGTTCTATTGGGCACTATATATCTGGACCCAGCAATTTGCTTTTGGGCCTTATTGATCCACATCTCTTATGGGCCTTCTTTCTCAAATTGTTCTCGGCCTATTGTTTTGCTCACATCTTGGGTACCCTAGAATGAGGGGGTCATTAATAGCCGTCCGTCCGATCTAGTACAGAGTTATAATGGGCTGTTGGATTGAACCCCTCATTGTGATCCCTCAACATAATCCTATCTTAGTTTTTCCAAAGCTTATAGACAAAAAGAAAAATGTTGCTACAAAATTCTATATAGTATCGTTTTTGTGATGTGTTGTAATTTCTTTTTTCTGCGGACTCTGGAGAATGTGTCAAAATGGTGCATGATAGGAAGGATGCATCAGAGGAACTCAATGAGAGATTAATTCATAAGTGGATTTTGTGTTGAATTTAGAGATCAAATTCACACAGACATCAACTCCACCCTGGTGATAATGGGCCTCAATACCTGCACATGAGCCGATTGGTGTCTCTCTCTCTCTCTCTTATCTTAATTATATGTAGAGGGAGGAACCATTACTATTTACATGTTGTAATTTACTGTGGCAATACGATCGGGAAATCTTCAACAACATGCTAGACTAGGACGGATGCAAAAGCTCCACCAAACGACGCCGTAACATTGCCAAGTTGAACCATGAAGAACTTGAGTCTCTCTTGGAATTCCCAATAGGGATTGAGGAAGAAAGATGAACAAGCATTCTATCCTGTTCTTGCAGCAGTAAATACGGAATCCCTACCTTAAGAAGCGTTGTGACAGCCATATGCTCAAGTCTTGAGGCACAGCCAATGCTCTTGAGTTTTATTGCGTTTTGCTTCTGTTTCTCTTTTCTAAGTCTGTCTCAACACTTTTACTAACCAAATTCTATTGCATGAACTCTAATAGCAATTGATAATTTTTCTTCTTATAAGAAACACAAATTTAAGTTACAAACTTTCATTAAAACAAAGAAAGAGAATCATGATGCAGAAGACACTGTTGATAACAATAGTGAAGATTATTTGTACCATTCCTTATACTCAGTTCTGATTATTTGACTTCAGTAGCGGGCAAAGTTGCATCTACTAGATGGCCACTGGAACCATATTTCTTTGAATTCTGCTAACCAAGAGGAGCCTTTGGTTCTGACGAAGACATAAGAGCAACCAATTGCACTACTAAGAGTATATCAAAAAGCAAAAACTTTCACTATCTAGCATGTACTCAATCATCCATATATACAAGGGGAGAATGGAGATGATGTGGCTCATAGAATCAAAGCACGATAGGTAAAATGGAGGGTTTTGTTAAGCATATATATAGTGTGATCATCATATTTTGCTAGAATTGAAAGCTAAGTTTATAGAACATCTGTTAGACCAGCCATGCTATATGGGACTGAATACTAGACGGTTAGAAAACAGACATATTCATAGTTTCTGTAGGTACATATTAGCCAACTGTTACAACCAGCACAGTGATATGGACACCTCTATGTCTGTTTCTCTAACGGCATATTATAGCCATTATTAGACACAAATTGTTAAGAGATCAGATTAAAATATTTGTCACCTTTTGAATCCTTCAAAATTGGAGATGTTTGTTGCTGAATAATCTTTGCTATCCTTCAAAAACCTGGTTATTGGCAAGACCATAGAAACTCCATGATAGGATAGCTTCATCATTTCCTTCCACTGAAGACAGACACCAAGTCAGCAAATTTTGTGTTGTTTTCTTCTGCGCCATGCCGTCAATGGAAAGAGAGAAGAGAATAAGGCGGAGTTGGCAGAGGGAGGAATTGTCGTAGTTGTCGTTTGGGAGAGCCTATAGAGAAGAGAATAAGGCAGGAAACAGGGAGATGAATGGAAATAGATGAATTAAGAGTCTCATGATCTCTTCTTCTATGCACCTGACTTGTGCTTGCTTCGGCTTCCCAATCTCAATCTCAAGCTCAAATTTGCAGCTAAACTTCTTCAATTTCGGGTTTCAGACTTTCAGTCAATCGCAGTGTTCGGAAAATCGGCCTAGGCGGGCGCTAGGCGGCTAGGCGGGAGCTAGGCGGCTGGGCGGGAGCTAGGCGGCTGGGCGGGCCTCCTAGGCGGGTTGGGTCTTTTTTTGGTGTCGAACCAGGAGGACGAAGCAGTCGAAACTGAAAATCGAAGCGAAATGGCTGTGACTGGGTCTGCAACCTCCGCCCTCTGCGAGTGCAAGCTTCGTGTTCGTTTGGAAATATTCCAGTATATTAGTATTTTAAGAGTATAGCCGAACGGCTATACTTTTAAAATATCCGAATGTATTTAGAAAGTACAGCCGTGCGGCTATAAATTTTTAAATATACAATTTTGTCATATCATTTTAGGGTTTAGGGTGGACTAGATTTATTTCTTCAATTATTTTATTTATACAAGCGATATTGGGGAATGAGAATTTAAATTCTTAGTGATACCTCCCATTCTAATGATTTCTAGCTATTAGCCCATTGGGCAAGATTAAAACATGAATTTTATTTCTAACAAATAATACAGGTTAAACCCATAAATACCAATAATAATAATAATAATAATAATAATAATAATAATAATAAAAGGTACCGCCAACATTTTGTGGATCAAAGAATTTTGAATTTCATAGTATAAAATTGCTTGTATAGCAATTTACTTTCTAAAATGTATTTGTTGTAATTATGAACTAAACCCAATTACAACCTTTTTTCTCATTGCACTTGACGACCATGCTCTTCTGCTATGAGATATGTCAGTTTGTGCTGTATTCTATGTAGATGAAAAATTGGATATAAAACAATCTAACGAGACAGCGAAGGGAAGTTTGCAACTTTATTTTGAAATTAATTGAAGGTATCATAGTTCATATGACATTGATATATGAACTATTCTAAATTAGAATTCAAACAACATGTGTTATATGAGAAGTAGCATCTCATTCTTAAATATAACATATTATTTCATTTTTCTACTGGTTGTGCATGTTGTTAAGTTGGTGCAACCAACATTCTTTCACCAAGAAATTTTGCTAGGAAAACCTTTGGTGGAAAGGGAAAGTTAAGATAGAAATAGAGGCAGAGGCAAGGCTGAAGAACAATCGCAAGCACATGTGATATTACAGAAAATGTAGCGAAGGAATTTAGAATGGCCATTTTCCAAATTAAGCATACATCTTATTATGAAATCAAGATAGGAACTTATAACAAGCGCTCATTAGAGTAACATTGTCCAAAAACACACGATGAACACCACACACAACACACATAATTGCTCATTAGTGTTGTAAATATAAAAAAGATGAGATATCTCTTACTACAATCAAATAGTTCTTCATTCCTCGTCGCCCAAATCATTGAACGCATCGCGCAAATCATTGAGCATTTCATCCCACGTCTCCTCCACATGTAGATGAAATGAGTATCCATCAACAGGAAGAACAAAATTGTCCATACCACAAAGAAATTCAGGAAATTCAGAACCCTCGCACATAAATTTACTAATATGAGACACAAGCTTTGATATTTCATCGTCATTCTCATCGAAACCAGAACAATCTCTGGCGTCCAACATCACCAGATCTTTGCATCCGCGCAGCAACATGACAAGACCATCCCGATTGACTTTTGCACCCTTCAAATTTAAGTACTTGATATTAGGCATCTCATTGTTTACTGTTGAAAATATGTTTGATCCAGCAGTTGAGGTTGGTGGTGGATTCTTCTAATACTGCGAGATTTTCTTCATTCCCTTGGTGGTTATATTATGTTATATAATTTGTTTATGTTGAAAAATAACCATTGTGGTATGTCCTTGTTTCGTTTTTTATAAATAAAAATAAAATGTAATGATTATTTGTTTATGTTTTTCAATTAAATAATGAAAAGGAAGAGGGAGATGTGAAACAAAAATGAAGAAAAGAGATGCAGGAAAATTAGAAAAGAAAAAGGTCCTTTTGTCTTAAATGTTTTTATTAAATAGTATAGCCATGCGGCTATACCCATTAATTATAATACAAATTTATAAATAAACCCAATCCTAGACATGTATTTATAAAAAACCCCAAGCACTATTTAAACATAGAAACACACCCAAAATCAACCCCAAAGTCAACTTTTGGGTGTGTTTATAAATGGGTTTTGAGTGTGTGTAATGATGGGTTTTGGGTGTATTTATATGTTTAAATAGTGCTTGGGTTTTTTTATAATTTCAACCCCCATTTTAAGTAAGCCAGTCGGCTATACTTATTTTGACACGTAGGCGTTAATCGCAAGGCGGGTCCTTTTTATCAAAAATAGTATAGGGCTAGACTTGGTCTTATTAATGTTTCTTAAAACGGTATAGCCGTGCGGCTATATGAACTTCTTAGTATAGTCGTGCTGCTATACTCCATTTTTTATTTATAAATAGTAGAGCCGCACGGCTATACGTGGTTTTATTTTTAATTAATATTTCTTTGGAAAGGTATAGCCGAGCGGCTATATTTATATATTTATTTTATAATTCGTATAGCCAGGCGGCCATACTCGGGTTTTTGAGCAGCTATACTCGGTTCTGATCATGTTTCTTTAAGAATAGTATAGGCGGGCGGCTATACTTCTGTCCTGTTTACGATGCTCCAAAAACGTCAGCATGCACTCCTCGACTATACTATCATAAGAAAAAATATTGAACTAGAGAAGAAGTTCCCGATGATTATCTTGCGGCTTTAAACTTGAAACAACCCAAAGTTTATTTTGATTTGCCTCCACAGTCAAAACAGACAGCTTATCTGTTTTGAGCACAAGAAGAAGAAGAGAAGGGAAGTCAAACCCAAACACTGTCTGCTGCTGTCAATATTGATCGCCAATCATTATTCGTCATCTTCAGCTCAATTAAGCCTGTCTTTTACATCCCCATCACAAATATGAATAATATAGTCATCTTTCATTCGCATTGGTCTCTTCTGTGTATCTTTGTTCTTCTCTTTCCACACTGTATCAAAACCCAAGTAAAAGAAAGCCTGAGTCTCCAGAGCATAATCAAGTACAACATGGAAGCAGAAGCAGATGTTATGATTGTGGGAGCTGGAATTTCTGGCCTTGCAACATCCTTAGGACTTCACAGGTTCTCTTTCTCTCTCTCATGGTTCATATATTACTATGGTTGGAAGCAAAATTGAAATTTCTGGGTGCAGGCTGGGGATTGGAAGCTTCGTGTTGGAATCATCTGATAGTTTGAGGACAACAGGGTTTGCATTCGCAAGATGGATAAATGCATGGAAGGCCTTAAATGCCCTTGGTCTTGCCAATTCTCTTCGCCAACATCATGTCACACTTGATGGGTATTTTCTTTCCATGCACCACTCTCTGTTGCCCCTTCAACTATCCTAACATGTTATATTCTCAGACTGCCAATCTCGACCATTAGTTACGCAAATACAATCTCGACCGTTAGTTATGCAAATACAATCCTAACATGTTTGTTGGTACTTACTAAGTTCTACTTTTGCACGCACGAAACTGATTGCAGAGATTTGAATGTACAGGAATGTGACTTCCTCAAGAATTACAGGGCTTCAAACGTTTGAGATGTCATTTAAGGCCAAAGGAAAACAGTAAGTTTATCAATAGTATAAGTGCTACAAGTATTTCTTACTGATGCTTAATATTGGATTTCAATTGTTTGCTAGATTCTATCACTTTGCTTCTATTTCATTGATTTTGTTAGTATCAATATTCAAGCATGCTCAAATGATTGAGAGAGTCTAAATGATGTGCAGCGGAGACCATGGAGTTCGATGCGTGAAAAGGAACTTGTAGTTGGAAGGCCTTGCAAATGAACTCCCTAGTGGCACCATCAGGTTCTCATCGAAGGTGGTTTCCGTTGACGAATCGGGCTACTTTAAGCTGGTGCATCTGGCAGACGGGACCATCCTCAAAGTCAAGTCATTATCAGAAGGCCAAGATGCACTCGCTCCTGCAACTTATCCCACATCGCTCGGTTGATATAAAAAACTACACTTTATAAGCCTAACACGAGGAAGTTGTAACGCCGAGCTTCGCAACGTGAGCTTGTAACCCAAGTGGGGGCTTTGAGGTGCTGGAACATTGGCCTAGTATTAGCTGGTCGGGTTCGGGTTGGCTATCTTCTGGCCCGCCCATTCCAAGCCAGGAGTTGAACCTTGTGGCTTGAGCGAAGGCTCTGGGTCACTGGGTTTCTAGAGAGGAGGGCACTGCGTAAGGCTGGCTTCACAGAGCAACGTCTACCTCCCTCTCTTGGCAGTGGAAGGATAACAGGTTGGTGCCACTTGGATCCGCCATGGCCTGCTAGACTGTCCCAATTGAACCAAAACCTTTTTGCTCACTTTTTGTGAGTCTGATTATCTTATGTGGTTGGTTTCTTACAAGAGAGTAATGGAAAAATTATGAACTTCTTCGGGGACAAATGTTTATCTCTAATCCTGGCTGGTTTGTTGTTGAAGAAGGCAGATTTTGATTGTGGGAAGCTCAGCATCTCTTAAATGCAATGATACTTCCTCTGCATATATAATAGTAATTTGCATGTAACCTTATATGTCAATCATATTAGTGATAACAGTAGAAGAATACTGAGAAAAAGAAGAAGGAAGAAGAAGTCTGAGAATAGAAGGCTCTGTATTGATTATTGTTGAAAATGATTACAATGTAATAGTGCTTATAAAGCAAACTAACAGACTCTCTTAACAAGCTAACAAACTCTCTTAACAATCTAACATACTTTCTTAACAACCTGACACGTGTCATTCAATATGGTTATATGGTTATCATTCCCCCTCAAACCCAGCTGAGCTGCTAAGTTGCAGATTCCTGCAATGTCTCAGAAAAATAGGACCATGTAATTCCTTTGTGAAGATGTCTGCTACTTGTTCTTCAGTGGGAATATACTGCATAATCAAGTCTTTCTTCTGTACTCTTTCTCTTACAAAATGAAAGTCAATATCTAAATGTTTGATCCGAGAATGATACACAGGAGTTGAACTTAAAGCAAGGGCTGAAAGATTGTCACAATGTATTGTAGGAGGCTGTGGTAAGAACACCTTTAAATCAAGTAAAACCTGTCGAACCCAAGCTAGATCAGCTGTTGTATTAGCTAATGCCCTGTACTCAGCCTCAGTTGAACTTCTAGAAACAGAATTTTGCTTCTTAGACTGCCAAGAAACTGGATTGTTGCCAAGATAAACCACAAAAACAGTAGTTGATCTACGAGTATTCACATCTGAAGCCCAATCTGCATCACTATAAGCATGAAGATCCCAAGATCCACTTGTAAAAGTCAGACCATGATCCAAAGTACCATGAATATATCTCAGGATGCGCTTAACCAACTGAAAATGTAAATATGAAGGTTGAGTCATATACTGACAGACAGTATTAACAGCATAACAAAGATCAGGTCTAGTGAATGTTAAATACTGCAGTGCCCCAGCAATACTCCTGTAGATGGTTGGATCAGATAAGGAGTCACCCTCCGAAGCCAAAAGCTGACAATGTGGCTTACATGGAGTAGTACAAGGTCGACATGTATCCATACCAGCCTTTGCAAGTAATTCTCTAGCATATTTTGTTTGACATACAAAGATATCTCCATTATCATGATAAGAAATCTGCAATCCTAAGAAGTAGGTTAACCGCCCCATATCTTTCATTTCAAACACAGCACTTAACTCATCAATAACCTCTTGGACTAAACTATCTTTAGAACCAGTCAAGATGATATCATCAACATAGAGTAAAAGAATGACACTATCTAAACCAACACGCTTAACACAGAGGCTTGGATCAGAATGAGAAACAGTAAAACCAAGGGCTGGAAGATGACCTGTGAACTTTGCATTCCAAGCTCTAGGTGCTTGCTTTAGTCCATAAAGAGATTTTCTCAATCGACAAACATGGGTTGGATATGCAGAGTCTTCAAAACCTTGAGGTTGGCGCATACACTTCTTCTTCATTGATGTTTCTGTCTTCAAGATCACCATTTTTTTTTTTTTTTTTTTTTTTTTTTTTTTTTTTTTTTTTTTTTTTTTTTTTTTTTTTTTTTTTTTTTTTTTTTTTTTTTTTTTTTTTTTTTTTTTTTTTTTTTTTTTTTTTTTTTTTTTTTTTTTTTTTTTTTTTTTTTTTTTTTTTTTTTTTTTTTTTTTTTTTTTTTTTTTTTTTTTTTTTTTTTTTTTTTTTTTTTTTTTTTTTTTTTTTTTTTTTTTTTTTTTTTTTTTTTTTTTTTTTTTTTTTTTTTTTTTTTTTTTTTTTTTTTTTTTTTTTTTTTTTTTTTTTTTTTTTTTTTTTTTTTTTTTTTTTTTTTTTTTTTTTTTTTTTTTTTTTTTTTTTTTTTTTTTTTTTTTTTTTTTTTTTTTTTTTTTTTTTTTTTTTTTTATATAAGATATTCCAATATAAATGGGCAAGATATTTACATAAGAATGGCTTCATCAGAACTAGGTATGGAATCATCTTGCTGTTTAAAACAAAGTTTGAAAGAAAAATAAAAGCCACCAAGGAAAAAAGAAGAAAGAAATCTTCCAGCAGTGACATGATTAGAAACAAGATAGAGCCAGAAAACTTTTGACATTATTAGAAAAAATATTTCTTTAGAATTGTCTCAGAAACTAGCATAGCCGTGCGGTTATACTATTTTTTACTTTCAATATTAAAATATATATATATGTTTCTTTACTTTTATTTTTTACAAATTTATAAATAAGCCCAATCCTAGACATGTATTTATAAAAAAACCCAAGCACTATTTAAACATAGAAACACACCCAAAATCAACCCCAAAGTCAACTTTTTGGGTGTGTTTATAAATGGGTTTTGAGTGTGTGTAATGATGGGTTTTGGGTGTGTTTATATGTTAAATAGTGCTTGGGTTTTTTTATAATTTCAACCTCCATTTTGGGTGTTTTAGTGAAACTCCCTATATTTTTTGGCCTACTTCTTTAATGTACTATACGTAATCAAGTAATATCTTAGCCTTTTTTAATCACTTTGCTTAGTAATTATATTTTAATTATTATTTAATGTAAAGAGATTGAAGAAAAAGAACACAAAGTAATTAATTTCTATTTATTAAGTCTTTTGTGAAATCGTTTGGGTGTCTTAATTCAATTTCTCCATAGCCCAAGAACTCTATCCATTACTATTATGCCATTACTCGAATATCTATCGTCCCTTTTTAATTTTTTACTTTTCCAAAGTTATTACCCGTATAAAGATTTTAGCACTTTCACGTTTAATAATGTATTATACACGTACGCACGTATTTCTCATGTTTAAATACACATATTTTTTACAAAAAATTCAGTAAGACACACAAAATTCACGTATTATACATGTATTACGGAATAAAAATAATATATGCCTTTAAAAGAGGGTATAGCCGCACGGCTATACTCGGTTTTGCCTAATAGTATAGCTGCGAAACTCGTTTTTGCATAAAAAATAGTATAGCCGGGCGTCTTTACCGCTTTGACACCTGGGCTTAGGCGATGGGCTGGTCTTTATAATAGTATAGCCGTGCGGCTGTACTCGTTTTTCCTTTTTTTTTTTAAAGGCTTATTTATGTACATGCCCCCTGTGCTTTCAAACTTGTCTCAGATTATCACCTGGACTTTGAAACGTCTTAAAATACCCCCCGCACTTTTAAAAATGGTCTCACGTTACCCATTCCATCAGTATTATAGACGTTCCGTTACTTGCTTTGAGCCCCACTTCGTTTTAATCCTTAACATTGGAGAATAAGGGTTTTTTCAGCTTTAGAAAAGGGGAATGGGGGTATTTGGGTGAGAAGGGGAAATTTCAGCTTTAATGTTGAATCTTTAAACTGGTTTTTGCAGAAATTGGTTAAATACAAATAAACACAATGGTCTGTTAATTACATTTATTTTTAAGCAATCACAGACTATAATGGTGTATTTGTAGTTTGATGTGAGGAGATGTTTGATTAAAACTGCAGATTGGGTTCTACTTCCTTCTCATGCAGGTTATTTCTCTGCTTCAAAGTTCCTTGATTTTCTGCTTCCACTGAAAACTTGTGTTTCCAGATTGAAGAACACAGAAGTACTCTAAACCTAGTTAATGAATTTGAAGCTAAATCAAGTGATTAGAATTTGGGTGGAAAGTGACCATTATGGACCCCAAATTGCCTACATTTTTACCCTTTTTGAATCAATTTTACAAGTAATTGGGTTCTGATTGAGAGATGTATTAAGCTAATGCAGCCCTAATTTACCAAGTTCTGATTGATAGATGATGGGCCTATAATTTTATCTTAACAGCATAAGATTTTTCAACGACTTTGTAACCTGGAAAACCAGAGACTATTAATGCTAATAAGAGTTAAAAACAGAGGAAGCAACAACTTAACTCTTTGTTTAAGTCTGACGATTTGCTTGAACTAATATGTTTTGATTTGTGGGAGCCTACCTGAATTATCTCTTAGGACTCTTAAATGGATCATAAACTTATAGTTGGGGTCAAGGGGAAGATACTCAAAAGTCAAAAGTGATGCTTAAATACATCCCCATTCTCTCTCTGAAATATGAAGTCTTGAAATTTCAATTCAACTGTCTGATTTACCAAGTTCTGATTGATAGACGGTACTAAAGTGTAGAATTTTCAGTTTATTGACTTTTATCTTTCTGAGATTACTTTTCATTTTAGGTTTTGGTTGTTTGATGATTTAGTCCAACACTAATAGAATGAAATATCTTACAGCTAATGCAAGCTCATGGAAGGAGAATTAGAGATAAAATAACTATTTTTTGCAAGTTTGTAAGGAGATGAAATTCACTTACAGGAACAACTTTATTTATAAGCCTACTCTACTTCTGTTATGTTTAACCTTCAATGATTGTATCTCCATGGCGTCTCATGTTATCTCCGCAGGCCAATCTCTTTCTGGGAACCAGACAATTACCTCTCCAAGTGGCATTTTTGAGCTGGGTTTCTTCACACCAGGTAACTCTCAAAACTATTATATTGGGATATGGTACAAAAAACTACCCCCGAAAACAGTAGTTTGGGTGGCAAACAGAAACCAACCTGTTTCTGATACGTCGTCTTCAACATTGCAACTCTTCCAAAATGGAAACTTAACCCTACTGGTCCAATCCAAAACTGAAATTTGGTCAACTCATTCTATGTCAACGGTTTCTCATTCCACCGTAGCAATGCTACTTGACAATGGGAACTTTGTCATAACATATGCATTTAATTCATCTGTTGTTATATGGCAGAGTTTTGATCACCCAACTAATACTTGGCTTCCAGGAGGGGAAGCTTGGACATAATAGGCTTACGAAAGAAAAACTAAGTCTTACTCCATGGAGAAACCCACAAAATCCAGCACCTGGCCTCTTTCCTATCTGGGCAGTATCTTGTATGTGATGGAGAATTTTATTTTCCCCATCCAATCTAGATCTTATGAATGGGAGTGGTGACATGAGCTTGTATCTTGATGTGCTTTCATCTATTTCAAATGGGATA